CGGCCCGTTACTCCGTCCCCCGCCCCTCCCGTCCTACCCCGGCCTGGCCCGGCCCGGCACAGCACCGTGCTGCCTGCCAGGCGTGTCCCGTCCACGGCCGGGGGAAGCTCCCGTCCCCTGCAGGCCTCAGCCCCTCGCGCACTTGCCGCCTCCCTTCCCTCCCACCTGCAGCGTGGTTGTCACACCCCGAGTGCCCAGTCCTGGGACTCCGCTTCCCAGGAGGCAGCTGACGGGGGCAGGGAGGACAGGGGTCTCCTGACTGGCCCTGCAGGAAGGCCCTGGCCACCCATGCTGGGACCGTCTCCACCACAGCTCCGCTCACGTGGACTGGCCGGCTCTCACTGCGGCCTCCCCTGTGGACTGGGCACTCCATGGCTTGCTACATGAGACAGATACTAAGTGGCTCTGGGCAGTGCCTGAGGCAGGCGGTGGCCCCAGGGCGAAGATGCAGCCCGGCAGGGCAAAGCCCTGAGACAGGCCGGCCAGTGGCCAGGCTGAGATCCAAAGGTCACAGTTCAAAGTCACCCTGGACAGAAGTCAGTGAGACTCAGAAACTAGTCCCACCTAACCAGCAAAAAGCTGGAAGTGGAGCTGTGGCTGTGGTGGCAGAGTAGCTGGAGGAGGTCCAGGGTCACTGGGCTGCACCCCAGCCTGTGGGGACTCCCGCCCAGGCCGCTCTGCCACCCAGCACCTACCACCCACAGGCCTAGACTCCAGGGGCTTCCTGTTTGGACCCTCCCTGGCTCAGGAGCTGGGCCTGGGCTGTGTGCTTATCAGGAAGCGTGGGAAGCTGCCAGGCCCCACAGTGTCCGTCTCTTACGCACTGGAGTATGGCAAGGTGAGCCTACGGTCAGGTCGATGGGGACAGTCACCACCCAGTGCTCCTCAGCTCACCGGGGGTCACTGGGCCTGAGTTCCCTGGGAGCCTGTGGCTACAGGAGCTATGGCTCACACAGCCAGGAAGCCAGGGGTGGCCACCTGTTGCTTCTCGGGCTCTGCAGTGTCCTCTTCCTGTGCACAGGCTGAGTTGGAGATCCAGAAAGATGCCCTGGAGCCTGGGCAGAAGGTGGTGGTTGTGGACGATCTGCTAGCCACTGGTGGTAAGACTTCCCCACAACAGACCACAAGGCCTCAAAGGGTGCTTGGAAGGGCAGGAGTTGGGTACCTGGCCGCTCACTGGTGGTGAGAAGCCCTGTGCTGTCCACTTCCTCCCTCCTGTACCCACCGGAGGTCAAAGCAGACTCTATTACCCCCACAGGAACCATGCGAGCAGCCTGCGAGCTGCTGGGTCAGCTGCGCGCCGAGGTGCTGGAGTGTGTCAGCCTGGTGGAGCTGACCTCGCTGAAGGGCAGGGAGAAGCTGGGGCCAGTGCCCTTCTTTTCTCTCCTGCAGTACGAGTGACCCAACAGCACCTCTACCACTCAGGACAGACTGGTTCACCTTCCTGCCTTCAGTATCCTCCGGGGGCCCTGGCAGTAGCCAGCTACATTTTCATGTGGGGCTTCCTGAAGGTCCCAGGAGTGCCGACCAACAGCAATATCACAGTAAAGAGCTTTTGTACATGTGTTGTGTCCTGTGGTCCAGGGCTGGGAGGCCTGGACCAAAGTATAAACCCAGCCTCTGCAGTAAGCAGCAGCCCCACTGAGAGCAAGCATTTTTCCTGGTGGAGGCTATTAGCATCACCTGCTCTGAAGTCCTCACTTTGGGGGAGGGGGTCAGTAATGAGGCCTGGACACTTCCAGAGCCACAGCACCACTTCCAGTTAATGTGCTAAGGTGGAACCCAGGGCTTCATGCATGCTAGGCAAGTACTCCCCACACTGAGCCATGTCCCCAAGCCCCCGCGGTCCTCTTGGTGACAAGGCTAAAAGGCTAAGACTGAAAATCAAGTTTTCTTGCTGAGGTTTCTTTCAGATATTGAGAATGTTTATTTTAAAGTTTAACAGATCAAGCCATACCATAGGTCCTACTGAAATGCTTAAAGCAAAATAAAAAACTAAATGACCTCAATTTTTACAAGCTATTTCAGCCCAAAGTGTAGAAAATAATCTATGGTTAGACCCTCATCATTAATTGCTCTCAAACCTAAACACAAGTCTGCAAGTTCCTGACATCAGATGCAGTTTGGTCTTAGCTTCAAGCCTATCTAAGTAACCCTTGGATGTTGAATCGCTCAGGGTGGAGGCCACCCACAGGCCTTGGGGAAGGACAGCAATGTTCCTCCACCCTGATATCAGTTTGCTCCAGGATAGGCAAGGGGTGTCTGGGGGGCATCTGTGACAATCACATTCTGTTACGACCTCCAGTGCACCTGCCACAGCAGCAGAGACATGAGGCCCTGGCCAGGGTGCAGGACTGCCTGGCTAGGACCCGCCTGCTGGCAGAGAGCAAGCATGGGCATGGGGGGCTCTCGTGGCAGCTCAGCTCAGCCCCTCCGCACGGGCCTGCCGGGCCAGCCGCCCAGTGATGTCCGCCAGGTCAGCAGCCTTGTCCAGCTTGATGTAGGTGTCAGTGCGGACACGGTGCAGACTAAGCCAGTCTGGCAGCAGCTCAGACAGGAGCAGCAGGTGCTTCTCCATCTCACCTGCGAAGAGTGGGGCTTGACTTGGAATCCCAATGTGCCGCGTGCCTGAGCTTTGGCACAGCCCTCCAGCCAGGACCTTCAATCAGGCACTGTCTGAAAAAGGCAGTGACTGCTACGTAAACTAGACCCAGTAGAAGCCAAGTCTGGGTTTCCTGGGCAGAGCCCCCAAAGCCAGAAGGTAAGTATGGACGAGGCAAAGACTCCAGCTGAGGCCTGAGCATGTGGACCCTACCCAGGGAAGGCCCAAAGCAGCTGGTGCCCTGCAGGTGGCCCACCAGGAGCCTTTGGTGCTTGGAGCCACGTGAGCAGGCCTGGGAGAGCAGCTGGCAGTCCTTGGGTAGCCCAGCAGGGCCTGGGGCTGGTGAGATGTGAGGGTCAGGCCACAAGGAAGCCACTGGAAGCTGTGTGACCGGCACGGAGGCCATGGGCCTGACAGCACTCAGCAGCAGGCCCCAGGGCGCACCGGGCATGAACAGTCCACACGGACATCCAGGAGACAGGCCCAAGCCCGGCTTTCTACAGGAGGCACTATGGACCAACTGGCTAAACCAGCACCTACCTGGGCTCAAAGTGGCCCAGCAGCTGCCCACCATTCTGGCACAGGCCACCTCCATGGTGAGTGCTGGCTTCCGCTCAGACACGAAGACACTGCGTAGCACACGAGCCAGCTCCGGCAGCCGCTCCAGGCGCTGCAAGCGCAGGTCCTGCTCTGGCTGCCGCATCATCTGTGCCAGCTGCCTCTGGGCCTCCTTGGCCCGGATCTGCAGGGGAGGGGCAGTGAGCAGCAGAAGGGGGTCCCATGCCCCCACCCCCACTCACTTACCCGCTCCAGGAGGGCCAGGGACACGCCTTTCAGGGCACTGGGGGAGGCGGCAGGGGGGGTGGCGGGTGGCGTGGCCGGCAGGGCAGCAGGCGGGGTGGCCGGCAGGGCTGAGCCGGGGCTGCCAGACTCAGCTGAATGCAGGGCCAGCTCGCTCAAGGCCTTCTCCATCTGCAGGTGAGTACAGGTCAGAAAGAAAACCCCAGCTCTGCGTGGATTCCCGCCCAAGGTCCCAGCACCTCAGTGGCCTGCACTCCTCTACTCCCCAAGTGGGTGGGTGAAAGGGCATCCCGATACTGGCCCAGCCAGGTGGCACCAAGTACCCAAGGCTGCTCAGCACTGAGCTCCACCCCAGGACAAAGGGCCAGCTCAGAGCCGGGCCAGCCTCACCTTGGGCGACATGAAGCTGCGAGCGTGGGCCAGCACTTCCCGGGCCGTGGTGAGCTGCTCAGTGGTGGGCGGCTGGGGCAGCTCTGCCGGCTCAATATCGGGGACTTGGTCCACATTGAAGCGTGGGTGCCAGCGCATCAGCTGGTCCTCAGGCACCACCATGGGGGGGTTCAAGGAGGCCAGGAAGACCTGTGGGAGAGAGCGGGCTTTAGGCTGCTGGAGTTGCTCTAGCTAGATGGCCCTGGGAAAACCGCTTATCTAGGCACTAAAAGCCAGGTAGGAGGATCTGCGGCCTTACACATGGGCAACACCAAAGCTTATGGTTAGTCCTGAGGCCCCCAGCAGATGCCAAGCCTCTCCTCTCCCCCTCCTGAGACTGAAAGCCTTCCAGAATGCTGTGCGTGCTGACAGAGCAGCTCCCACTGGGCGTGGGCACGACACGTGCCCGGCACCGACCTTGTGGTGCTCCTTCACGCGCTTCACCAGGTTTTGGCGGAACACCTGTCTCCGGCGCAGGAGGCGCGAGGCTGTGAGCTGGGGGGCTGCAGCTCCACCGGGCTCTGAGAAGAGAGTCCATCTGAGCCCCAGGCTCGCCCAGCACATGACACCTGACACCAGGTGTGGAGCCAACACCTTGTGCCATACTCCAAACATGGGTCACAGGTGAACACATGTGGCGAAGGCCAGGCCCCGTGCTCACCCTGGTCCAGCAGCGGCTCAATGGTCAGCTGGTAATCTGACCGCTTGACGCCATCCTTGAAGGTGGGGACATTGCGCTCCTGACGGAAGCAGTAGGATTCGGGGTACACAGTTTTGATCTGGCCCACGTTGCGCTCCTCAAAGCGCCTACAGAAGAGACACCTGGTCAGAAGGAGCTGGCGGGGCTGGGTCAGACACCGAGGGCAGGCAGAGCCCAGCCACACAGGCCACTCACTTGCGCATCATGTCCTGTACACCCTGCTTGACCTTGGAGAAGGTCACTGTCTCCGCGCGGTTGTGAAGCATGCCCACAATGGTGTCCATGCTGTGGAACATCTGGGCCAGCACCTGGTACTTGTAGGGCAGCACAAGGCCCGGAGGCCCAGGCTGGGCCAAGGCATGGAAGCGCTGGTAGGCAGGAACCTTCTCGCCACTGTCAGAGGGGGCAGATGCATGAGAACACACACTCCCTCCAGCGCCACAGGGTCAGAGAACTGCACAGAGCCAGCCAACACCCACTGCCTGCCTGCAAGGCTAGTGCTAGGGAACAGGACGTGGACTGACTATACACCTGTCCCACACAGGGAGCCCTCCAGCAGGCCTGTCTAGTGGCCTGACCCAGGCCGGAGGACACATAGAGAACAGTTAACAGACTGTATGTGTCCATCCTACCCCTAGATGAGGTTACTCAGTGCAGCTAGCAAGCAGGCATCTAGGGTCTGTCTGCCAGGCACACCAGCTAGCAAGCAGGCATCTAGGGTCTGTCTGCCAGGCACACCA